TTCTGTCAGCGCAAAACCAGCGGGTTGCATATAAATTAGCTTCTCAGGAATATTTAGGCTGTACACGTGACCAGCCAATGCCAGCGCCTTTTCCCGCCCCACCCATTTTTTAAGGGAAAAGCCCTGGGAACGAGGTTGTAGTGATATGTGTTCCCCTACCTGGGAAACACATATCCCTAGTGATATGTGTTCCCCTACCTGGGTAACAGATTTCCCTAGTGATATGTGTTCCCCTACTCTTTGAAACTCATTTCTCTAGTGATATGTGTTCCCCTACTCCTTGAAACTCATTTCACTAGTGATATGCATTCCTCTCCCAGGGAAACACATATCCCTAGTGATATGTGTTCCCCTACCTGGGAAACACATAGCCCTAGTGATTTGTGTTCCCTACCTGGGAAACATATAGCCCTAGTGATATATGTTCCCTACGTAGGAAACACATTTCCCTAGTGATATGTGTTCCCCCACCTGGACACACATCTCCCCAGTGCTATGTGTTCCATACCTAGGAAACCCATATCCCTAGTGATATGTGTTACCCACCTTAGTGATATGTGTTCCGCTACCCAAAAAACACATATCCCTAGTCATATGTGTTCCCCCACCTGGGAAACACTTATCCCTAGTGATATGTGTTCCCCCACCTGGGAAACATATATCCCTAGTGATATGTGTTCTCCTACCTGGACACACATCTCCCCAGTGCTATGTGTTCCATACCTAGGAAACCCATATCCCTAGTGATATGTGTTACCCACCTGGACACGCATCTCCCTAGTGCTATGTGTTCCATACCTAGGAAACACATATCCCTAGTGATATGTGTTCCTCCACCTGGGAAACACATCTCCCTAGTGATATGTGTTCTCCTACCTGAGAAACACATATCCTTAGTGATATGTGTTTTCCTACCTGGAAAACACATATCCCTAGTGTTATGTGTTCCCCTACCTAGGAAACATATATCCCTAGTGATATGTGTTCCCCCACCTGGGAACACGAATCCCTAGTGTTATATGTTCCCCCAACCCAGAAACACATATCCCTAGTGATATGTGTTGCCCCACCTGGGAAACACGTATCCCTAGTGATGTGTGTTCCCCTACTCATGAAACCCATTTGTCTAGTGATATGCGTTCCTCTCCCTGGGAAGTACATAGCCCTAGTGATATGTGTTCTCTACCTGGGAAACACATATCCCTAGTGATATGTGTTCCCCTCCCTGGGAAACACCTATCCCTAGTGATATGTGTTCCCCTCCCTGGGAAACACCTATTCCTAGTGATATGTTTCCTCTACCGCGGAAACACTTATCCCTAGTGATATGTGTTCTCTACCTAGGAAAGACATATCCCTAGTGATATGTGTTCCCTACCTGGGAAACACATATCCCTAGTGATATGTGTTCCCCTACCTGGGAAACATATATCCCTAGTGATATATGGTCCCGTAACTGAGAAACATATATCCCTAGTGATTTGTGTTCCCCCACCAGGGAAACACGTATCCCTAGTGATATGTGTTCCCTCACCTGGGAAAGACATATTCCGAGTGATATGTGTTCGTCTACCTGGGAAACACATATCCCTAGTGATATGTGTGCCCCCACCTGGGAAACACGTATCCTAGTGATATGTGTTCCCCTACCTGGGAAACACGTATCCTAGTGATATGTGTTCCCCCACCTGGGAAACACGTATCCTAGTGATATGTGTTCCCCTACCTGGGAAACACGTATCCTAGTGATATATGTGCCCCCACCTGGGAAACACGTATCCTAGTGATATGTGTGCCCCCACCTGGGAAACACGTATCCTAGTGATATGTGTTCCCCCACCTGGGAAACACGTATCCTAGTGATATGTGTGCCCCCACCTGGGGAACACGTATCCTAGTGATATGTGTGCCCCCACCTGGGAAACACGTATCCTAGTGATATGTGTTTCCCTATTCGTGAAACCCATATCCCTAGTGATATGTGTTCCCCTACCTGCGAAACACATATCTCTGGTGATATGTTTTCCCTTACCTCGGAATCACATATTCCTAGTGATATGTGTTCCCCTACCTGGAAAACACATATCCCTTGTGATAGGTTTTTTCTCACCCGGGAAACACACATCCCTAGTGATACTTGTATTCCTCTTTATATGTGTTCCCCCACCTGCACAACACATATCCCTAGTAACATGAGTTGTCCTACCGATAGAAATTGAAAGGAGTAGGTAACAACGTGGAACCGTTCCTTTACAAGTAAATGATTGGGTTTATTTGTCATCAATTTTAACTGCCGATTTATCATTTGAGTACGTGGATATTAAACGTCCAAGAAACGGCCGTGGACACCTTCTTTTGTTAGTTTGTAGACTAGTTTCTGTCTGGGTATACAGTCGAAGGTTTTTCTAAAGTCGACGAATCATGAAAAGAGTAAATTTCGGTGCTTCTGTGGTTTAGATTTCACGTACTTGTCAATAAGCGTTTTTAATGTGAAGATGCTATCAACTGTGCCATGCATTTTTCTGAAGCCACGTTGTTCCGCTTTCAAAATTCCTTTTTGAACCATGTAGTCGTACAGTGGATCGTTGAGGATTGATGTAAAGATCTTGCCTAGCGGAGAGGGCAAAGTGATACCTCGGTAAATTTCGACTTTGGATCGATCATCCTTCTTATGTATAGCTACAATGAGGCCAAAACTGCAAAGAGCAGGGTATTTGTCAGTATCTAAGATTGGATTAAATAAATTTACTAAATGCCCTTTAATCCCTGAGGTGGCACGTTTACTCTGTTAACTCACTTGATCAAACTAAATTTTTGTTAAAAAAAGGCGTATTATTGATACATACTGTTGCATTGTTGCAGGCCTATAGTGTTCAGTATGGATGGCGACTCCACCTACGAAGCTGACTTTGTTCTGGCAACGTTAGTGGATCATGATTCATCCCTGCCGCCCTCACAAGCGTCAGTGACAGCATCAGCTAACACTTCAACTAAAAGCGCCACCTCTAAGGACAAGCAGGCCAAGAGGTGAGAAGGTTTTCACATTACGCTCACATAGGAATCTGATCACCTCACAACTAGACCATCTCACCTTCAACGAAATCGCCACCAACAAATAGACTCGTCTCCTACAAAAAAACTCTTAAATAATTTACACAGTTACAAAGGGTAATAGCTGCTTTGAAACTTGGGATTCTGGTCAAGACAGACAGATCTGTGAACAAGGTTGGTGGCGAGTCAACTTCTTGGTGGCAAGGTGGTCTGGTGGTGAGATGTACCGTACACCCTCACAGCAATCACCATATGCTGTTGTATGGCAATAGACGCAACTTGCGTGTCTTATGATAAGGGAAATCAGTTACCGTAAAAATACACTCAAATTTGCGTGTAGTAAGGCTGCGTGTAAAAACTCGTTACACGTGTGTACATGTATTTTACATGTGGCCTTGGTGTAAATCCGCCATATTGCGCGCATTTTACGCGCCTGTAATTCTGCAATTCCTGTGGCCTGTGCTGTACATGTTGTCTGTGCAATTTGATAAAGGTAAATACTTGATATCAATAGCGTGCATAACTACAGTCGCACTGTAGTCACCCTTATCGCCCGTTTGATCTCACGAGCTTGCCGGGCAAAGGTGGAATTAGTTTTACTGGTTCATCACCCGCAGGAGTGAAGCTTCAGCCCTCTTTCCAATGAGTTTAAAGTGCGTAATAGTTCTTTCTTACTATGCGGCAATCTTTACCTGTTACTTGGATGACGATCGCGCGAGTTGTAATCAGTCCCGGAGTCTTTGCCAGAATGCTACGTGAGGGAATGGTTACTCGAAGCATAATGTTGGTCTGAATTTCCGCGGCGAAAATATGTCGGATTATGGATGAGGAAAGTGGCCGAGGAGTTTCGTTTTCGAATGGGAGATAATATTCATTGTTAATTTTTTATCTTATCGGCTTCCCGATTATTCCCACCTGATCTGGCTTTATAACGCTCACTGAGCTGAGACGCGGGTGGATGGGTAGAGAGAAAGCGAGATAGAGTCTTCTACTCTTTCTTTTTCCCAGTTATTGTATTCTAAATCTTGTAATAAAGTGTTAGCAGTGTAGAAGTATCTATTTTAAACTCAATTCATTAGTGCTGATAGGGAAATGTGACTAATAGGATCGTTTTCAAGAATTTTTACATTATATTGACCATGAATTTCTTAAATAAATGAACATCAGTTTTAATTGACTATTAGTAGTCTTGTAAATAGTTTAATTAAACAAACTACTTTAAAAAACAAAAGCGCTATGGTCTCTGATTATCATGTCCAGAACAGACTGAGAAATGTAGGAAGATTGTTTCGAAGTTTCCTACCGCGTATTTTTTCGTTTAATCATGCATTCTTTTTGTGAGTCTCATATATAAAATCGCCGAAGCTCGTACCCGCTAATCAAAGATACCTGAATCCCGTTCATGTTTTCATGTGAAATAATGCGAAGTGAGTCCAAGCAGCAGCATTCAAATATGCCAAATCCCGATCGGATGTACCGGAAAAACTACGGAGGACCTTTCCCCCCCCTCCCAGTAGTGGTTAGCATTAAATATCAGAAAGATGAAATTTCTTGAATTTTGCTCAATTCCACCTCCTATGTTCTTATAGAAGTGCTCAGCTAAAGTGTGGAATATTGATGAAGGTATCAAAGGTTAAACTAGATTTTATCCCGGCAAAATGATGGTCTCGATCTGTTGAAGACTCTTAAAGCAGGACTTACTACTGAAATTAAATTGTCAATTCTTTATTGTGTACATGAACCTCTTTAAACATTTGAAACTATTTAACATCTTTTGAACACCATAAATCTTCATCCTTGTCTGTGTCGTACTAGTGAATGGTCAACAATGAACCTTCCAATTCTTCAGTGAGTTACAAGTACATTGAAATCTTATTCTTTAAAGTGAAATACAAAAATCAGAATACGTTAAAAATAAATCGGATTCTTTGGCTAGTAAATGTGTTCAACTAATTTTCGCGCTGAAAGCCACTGGCTAAAGTAACTGCAGCTAAAAAGTCGTCGGCCGAGTAGCGAGACTTGACGCAAGGTGCTTGGAACTGTTCTTCGTAGCTGAACGAGGGCGAAGCACTGCAGCTGAACGGCGGGCTCACTGAAGCTGATACACGCGGACCAAGTAATACGCTGACAGTTTTTGAACCTTGAGAAGCGACGGGCGTCATATTGTCATAGAAGGATAAGAAGGAAGGGCTGCTTGTAAACGGCGGGAAAAATGGCTCACTTGATCTGAAGGGCGCCGGGTGCAGGGACGGCTGGAAACTGGCAAGCGACGGGTGGAACATGTGTGGGATACTGACTTCACTTCTAAGGTCCTTGGCAGGTTGATTTTTTAAGCTTTTGCGCCACCTTGAACGGCGATTCTGGAACCAGACCTAGAAGTGAAAATAAAACGTCAGGAAAAGCATTACACTGCTAAGTCACTTTACCAAAAATAAACACCTAACCTCTGCTAAAAGTTAGTAGTTAGTTCAACACTTGACTTCCCAATGTGCAAAATATCAAACCAAGTGGTTAATTCCATTTGAATGGTTACACTCTAACATTTTATTTAAAAATTTCAATTATTATAGCTAATCCCAGACTGGTATTTGTGACGATTTCCTTTGTTAGTTACATGATTATAAGAGAATAATAATCAACGGAGATTTTTGTAGAGCAAAGGAAATGAGAAATGACATCTTGAAAACCCTACCAACGTTTTTTTGTATCAATAAGCATTCTCATTCGGTCGTTTCGGTACAAACTCAAGCAGTGAAATCGCACAAAAATTTTGTTCTCTTCAAGTATAGTTTTCGCGTGAACACCAAACACATTTTGGATAAATATTCTTCGTCCTTTAAGCCAAGGACGTGAAACTGTTTACACCTCGGCTGAATAAACTTGTATCGAAACGACCAGTAACGGTTGTGTGTATTACTCAGTTGAAATTCATGTATTTGTGCACAAACATCTTACCTGGATTCTGTCTTCTCCGATGTTAAGCTCCTGCGAAAGTTCTTCCCTAATCTGGATTCCTGGGAATCTTTCTTGTTCAAACGACTGCTCTAAACGATTAAGTTGATGGTCTGTAAAAGCAGTTCTGCGGCGTCTTTTGCGCCGAGCGTCACCTGGAAATTAACAAGAAAGTCGTGTTTAGTTGTGATAACTAGCTCCTTGTAAAAGCGAGTGTAGTTAAACGCCAAGGAAGTCTCGGAATATAAACGTCATTAGAATGTCTCGCAAATTGTCGAATTTACAATTCTTCAACGACGTGCTTAAGCTTAACGGAGACTGAATTTTGGCGGTTAAATTGATTTTGACTTAGTTCGATTGATCTCTGCAATGTCTTTCGTCTTATGTTTGATTATGATGCGTAAAATTTTATCAGAACCTAAATTGTAGATGAAACTTTAAGAGCTGATTATATAGCATGAAAAGTTTCAAAACATTTTACAAGAATATAAAGTTTTGCAATAATACTATGATGCGCGCGAGTTCCGCACGCTTTTTACTTAAGTTGATTAAACCCGTAAGTCGTCTCTTAAGTTGACCCAGAAACTGCAAATTTAATTCCGAAGGTATGAATTGAGAAAATGAGATTCTATAACTTACGTTCTTCCTCTGGAACTGGCCTTTTCAAGTTCGCTCTTGAAGCCATAGTTGTTCGTAAAATTTCGCACTGTACTTGGGAAAAGTGTTGTTTACAAGTCAAACTGGAAGGATGAATGATCGTTTGAAATATTGACTTCTTTATATACGTAGTTCCCTGACGCTTGATGATGATTCGTGGGCGGCAAAATAAACCATTTTAACAATAAACATGTTAGTGACTTTATTAGTAAATTACCTCGCACCTCTATTGTTTGATTACTTGTGAGACTTAGCTTTTGTCTCCATTGTTGAAATAAGATGTCAAGTACCTGTGAAACAAATTGATGAAATCAAAGCTTTTGGTAAAAAAATTTTGTGAAACTCCGCCTCATTGAGTTGATGCGTATTTTCACTCCCGATCCGTTAAGTAAAGAAATTTTATAATAAAATCTGAGGAGTACATGTTTTCAACTGTTAACACGCGTGCCACTTTACAGGTCACGCTTTATATATAAGTGATGTGGATTGATTTCAATTTATTGCGTTTAAAAATTGTCGCTCGTTGGCGCCTGTGGAAGTCCCGAAAATTCTTTAGATCTTTTTATTGAAATTGATCCGCTCTAGGTATAAGTAACCATTCCGCGCTCTTGGCGACTCGAATTGTTATGCGATCTCGTTTCATCGACCATTTGCCCTTCGTTGATAGCTTTCGTGTCCGTTTATGCTTGCACGCCCTCGTTAACTGTCGCGCGCTCAATTTGATACTCGTGCACACACTGTTGAATCTCGTGCGTTGGAGTTTGATTCTCGCGCGCTTTCGTTGCGGTTTCATTCACTGTTGTTTAAAAAAGTACCGATGAAGCCGGCGTCTTATTTTGCAGTAAGTGGGCAAACAAAACGTTACAAAATTAATCCGTTACTGCTTGATTAATATACATTGCTTCTCGAATCGTTTGTTTGACTGCAGCTTGTTAAGTGTCGTATTTTATTAATTGCCTTAAGATTGCTCTAAGGTTGAATTAAAATTGTGAAGCTTAAAAGTGGCAGAGTAATTTAATCAAGAAACCTTGGAAGTAAATTTAACTTTTTTTCTATACTGTGCGTCTTATCCTTTGCACTTGTTTATCTGGAGGTAAATTGGTGAAGGCTGTAGATGACAAAGTTCTCAAAGTACAATCAGCATCAGCAGCAGGCGCAAACTAGAATGCAAATCCTTTTCCCAGTTATATTTTCTTGTTGTCATTGATTGCTGGTTCAAATTTCCTAATTGCCTCGTATTGCTCCTTGCGTGCAGTAAAGGAAGTAGAAAACGTCTACGCGCAGGTCTCCTTTCTCTCTCCGCTGTTGCGTCTTCTTTTGCGTGCTTCTCGCGCGCATACTTTTCACGATATCCCCAAAACGGAGAGCTTGCTCGTAGGTTAACGCTTAGGCGAGGGACTTCTCCTGTTACAAGGAGAAAGGACAACAACAAAAGCATTTAGTATTAACAGGACGTGTTTTTCTTCACAGTTCTGCGAAAACGAAAACGGTGCAACGGAAGGCAACTGCTACAACTCATAACAACACTGACGCGACAGAAAACGTTCGTGAAAGAGACGCTGTTAACAATCATGAACAGGATGATGCAATGTTTAATGATGATGACGATGACGACTTGGATATTACTGAGATCGATCACGTGTTACAGGGCAAAGCTCCATTGTCATCACCTAATACTCGAGAACAGGAAAGCAAAGGCACAAATCGTAAAACTACTAAAACAGAACAAAAACCGGCAAGCCAAAGGTATGGTTGATGTATTTCAGTGTGATAACCCTTTTCATTTTCTATGAAATAAGTCCGAAAATATTATCACCAGCTTTGGTGAAGTAGCCTTCATAGCAGGCACATGAGACGTATACGAACCAAGACAGTGGTCGCGACGGAGGACGACGCGCGTGTGTCCTCGGCCCTCGCGCCTATCGCTTAACTTGTGCCCGCACTTGTGCGTCAGCTATGCAGGCTGCTAGTGTACTTTTCAGTTGTGTTATAATTTCGCAACATCTTCGCTGTTTGAGTAACTAAAGAGTCTGGCGTCAATTTCTCAGCCAATCAGGTGTTAGACCTTA